AACTCTCTGGCTTTCTCCATAATCCAGCGCATGTTAGCAATTTGGCCTCGAGTTCCTCTGCCCCTTCAAAATCCAGCTTGTACTTCTGAGAGTTCTCGGTCCACATACTGCTGAAGCCTACCTTATAGGATTTTGAGCATAACCTTGGTAGCGTGTGAAATAAGTGCAATTGTGCGGTAGTTGGAGCATTCTTTGGCACTGCCTTGCTTTGGGATTGGGATATAGACTGAACTTTTCCAATCCTCTGGCCATTGCTGAGTTTTCCAAACTTGCTGGCATATTGAGTGTAGCACCTTAACAGCATCATCTTTCAAGATTTTAAATAGTTCAACTGGAATGCCATCACCTCCACTGGCCTTGTTGTTAGCCATGCTTTCTAAGGCCCACTTGACTTCACTCTTCAGGATGTCTGGCTCAAGGTCAGCAACCACACTATCTGGGTTGTCTGGGACATCCAGGTATTTCTGGTACAATTCCTCTGTGTAATATTGCCACCTCTTCGTGATGTCTTCTGCTTCTGTGAGGTCCCTACTATTTTTTCCTTTATCATGTCCATCTTTCTGGTCATGGGGTTTTCTTGGCAAAGATACTGGAGTGGCTTGCCAATTCCTGCTCCAGGTGGATCACGTTGAGTGAGAACTCTCTACTGTGTCCTGTCCGTCTTGGGTGTCCCTGCACGGCAGAACCCATAGCTTCTCTGAATTACTCAAGCCCCTTCGCCACGACAAGGCAGCAATCCGTGAAGGGAAGCTGAACAAATAGAGTGAATTAAAAGCAGACCTGGGCAAAGTGCGGCCCGCGGACAGTTTTCAACATCAAAACCATTTATAGCTTTTTGTCTAAAATTGATCAGTTGCTTATCTTTAACATACCGCAAAAAGAAAACTCTTACGTATTTGTGAAGATTAACAAGTTTAAAATAAGAACTTTCGTAACACCACTGCTTCATTTTATTTTTAAGTAAAGTTGGTTTGGCCCCCGAACACAGTTCAGATTTTTCATGTGCCCCCCCATAGAAATTAATTGCCCAGCCCTGGTTTAAAGGGTCTGTTTGTTCTGGCTCACCAGGAGTTGCAGGAGCCAGATTCTGCTCAGAATTCATAACAATAAGGTCCCTTGTCTTTGAGTTGTGGAGCCATGGTCTTGTGACTCGGTCTGTGTGGCGAAATGGTTAGATTGGGTGACCTCCTTTCCCAAAAAGAGGGCACAGAGCCATAAATCAAAACCGTCATGAGCATCTGTGTCGGGTTCCTTGGGAGTGAGATGTTGTAAGTTTAGTCGGATATATGCCAAATCAGTTGAAAGCTTTCGCTTGATTTCTTCACCTCCTTATTTTGTTCTGAGATCTTTGTAAAGCTAAGTGCCGGGCTGTGGTACCTCTTCTTCTTGCCAGTGATGGTCCCTAATATGGGGCAAATATTAGGACAAACAGAAATGGGACAGAAATGTCCCCCACTCACCCCATGTCAAGTAAAATATATTTCTGCTCTCAGTATAGCTAATGATCCTTATATTACGCTACCTTGTAAGGTTGTTGTTCTGCCCAGCTTGGCAAATGAGAACATAGGCATAAAGTGGGTAATTAAAGGTGTGGCCACCCTGAAATTTATCTCGCATCAACTTGCCTGTATCACACCCTGGCATTTAAATCACTTCCGCAGTTCACACAGAAATTTTTAAATATCCTGAGATTTCAAATATCCACAAAGCACATAGCCATCTTCCTCCATCACCCTTCTTTATCATTATTACTCTCCTTTTCTCCACCCTTTTTGCCAGGTTTCAAATCCCTTTTCTTTCTTTCTTTTTTTTGCGGGGTTAACGTTTAACAAAGTGAAATAGCGCTAAACTGACAAGGCATGGTAAGCCTTTGAATTTGCCCTGTTTAGCGCTATCGCTGTAGCGCTAAACTGAGCGGACATTTTTCTAAAAAATACAAAATGTCAAAAATACCATTTACAAGTTGTGTTGCAGTTGTAGTCCTTTTACAGTGTAGCCAGAAAGGAAGCACAAAGGAGTAGGGTGCACACCTACACCACAACTCACTCTGTGTATAATTAGTGATATCTCGATATGCTCGACAATGGTTTTTAAAGAACCCATACAGGCCATTATACAAGGCATATATAAGGCAAAATAATGGAAGTGTTACAAAAAACAACAACATAGGAGTCCTACTAAGTCAAACAAAATATTCCACACACTCAAGCCAAAAGATCAGATCTATTTGTGATTATTTAGCGCTAACATCATGTAGTCAACAGAATAAATACCTAATGGTAGAGCCGGCCCCGTAAGCCATTCGTAGGTTTGCTAATCTGAGTCACCAGCCGCCACCCGGTAAGCAAAGATTAACCATCTGGCAGATCTTACTCAGATATATGGACTCTGGGAATACTTGGTCCATGATTATTTGAGATGGCTAATCCAGGAGAGAGAGGAAAAAAAGAGAAAACAGTAAAAGTATAATTTGTTCCAACTTCTAGATTTTTGGGCACTTGTTTGCAACTTTCGGGGAACCCTTTAAGGCAGGATTGGTACCCATTCGCACAGAATTGGACATTTTTATTTTAGCACTGCCGTTTGGCCTTTGGCTGCCGTGGCTGATGGGAGATGTCGTCCCCAACCTAACTTTTTCCGCGATCGTGGGCGAGTGAGAAGAATTGCCCCCCCCAGGTGAAAGGTAAGGCCTGTCTAATCAGCCGCCTGACACCCCCACCCCTAGAAAGCCCACCCCGCAGGAACCACCTTCTCTCTTGAAAACCAGACAATTAAGCAGTCTTTGGGTGGCGAAGCCCCGTTGAGGCCCTCTAGGGCTGTCCGTGGTCTCATCTTCTCGGATCTTCACCCCACCTTTCTCTCTTCCCCCTTGCTTTTGAGTGTCAGGCTCCAGATCACAGGACGTGAAACCTTTCACGGTGAAGATTGACTTTTTTAATTTTTATTTTATCCTTCCCCTCTTACAGAGATGCCGGTTGTGTCCTGCGGTTGGCAACCAGCCGCTGGACTGGTCTTATCTACACACATCAGTTTCAGAATATCACAAGCTTACGAATGTCATGGTCGCCTCTCCCTCCCCATAGGCACTTCTGTTCTTGGTCTGGGGCTGTGGTGGATCCACATTTTTATTTTTTTGAACCATGCGTTCCGTCCGGTTGAGGCAGGAATCGTTCGGCACGGGGACCTATTTCCACGTTCAAGAGGGGGAAAGAAACGCAGAGGCGGCGATGGAGCAGGACTCAGGAGGCCTGAGTTCGAATCTCTGTTCAGCCACGGAGGGGAGGACTAGTCAAACCACTCTTCGAAATATCTCACTTTCCCTCGAAAGAAAGCCTTATTAGGCTCTCCGTAACTTGCTCCCAGCGTGAGGGTGGATAAACACACAAATCGGGCCAAACTTCCAAGAAGAAACTAGTGTTCTGGCATCTCACAGCTTCCCCCGAGGACGCACAGCGGATGATGCTTGGGTTTGTTTACAAGTTACAGCCTCGGGCAACCCTGATCGTCGTGGGCTTTGGGTTTGGTTACAAGTTACAGCAGTGGTTCTCAGCCTCGGGCAACCCTGATCGTCGTGGGCTGCCGCTCCCGGAATCCCCCGCTGGTGGCGAAGGCTTCTGGGAGTAGCAGGCCAAGAACACCGGAGTCGCCCAAGCTTGGGAACCCCTCCGGGGTTATGGTATGGAAGAAAGTTTTTAAGACTGGATAGAGGGGAGGGCATAGCCTGTCGGGGACGAGGAAGACCGGTGCCCGTCCCAGATGCCCATTGGACTACAACTCCCATGAGCCCTGGCAAGACGTCATGGGCCTTTGAGTCCACAGGGCCACACGCTTAATTCTCCTCGGTCTGTCCAGGCTCAGCTTCAAGCAATGTGTACGGGATTAACCTTTGCAGACATCAGCAAGAACGTTTCCTGTTCCAGCCGGCAGACGGTCTTACGCAGATTATTGCTAACAGGCGTGGAAGGGCTGGACGAATCAGGCGCTGGACGAGAGGGGGAGGAGGGGGGGAATCTTTTGGGGACCCCTTGACCTTCCCCCCCCTCTGTCCAAGAGAGGAAAGCTTCAACCCGAAAAGAGCCAGGTGAAGCCTTCCCCAAACGTTGCTTGGGGAACGATGGGAGTTGGTTCTGCCTCTCCCATATGCTCCGACGGCAGGAAGAGCATAACGCGTCGGAAGACCCTCCGTCAGGGAACCGTGCCTGATTAGATTTTTGTCATCTGACTCTTTGTTTAACCAGGGGAATTAAGCAAACAACATGGGGCTGTTCTGAGTTCTGGAGTTTTTCCAGCCACGTTGCAAAACAGCGTCACGAGAGAGCCGAAGAGGAAAGGAACTGAATATTGGGGTTTTTTTCCCCCTCCTCTCTCTCTCTGTGTCTTCCTCTTTTCTCTTTTTCCGTGGAACAGTGTATTTGTTTGTCCGGAAGACTTAGAACCCAACCCCCTAATGTGAAATCTCGGAGCAAGGTTTAAACAGAACCCTTTTAAAGCAGCCAAACTCTGTCGAGCAGAGGTGCGGAAGCCGGATTGAATGCACGGTGGTGGCTATTTTCCAAGCTTTGGTGTTACGTCAGTTCTTGCCTTGTTTGCTTTCTGGAACCTTTTCTACAAGTAAGGCTGGAAGGGAAAGATAAATCAGTAAATGGATTTCTATTAAGAACGTAGGAATCTGCCTCGTACTTGTACAGCCTCCGATCTTTAGTTTACCTAACCTAGCGTAATCAACATTGTCTGCCCGCCGCCCTCCCAAGTTTTTCCTAGCGGAACCTGACAATACCAGGGTTTGAATCCATCATCTGTGCTCCCCTGTCCAAACTGTTTTTCCTAGCGGAACCTGACAAAACCAGGGTTTGAATCTAGGTACATCTGTATCCATCATCTGTGCTCCCCTGTCCAAACTGAATCCACCTTTCCCCAATTACTCTAAAAAGCCGTGTCTCCCAAACCCACAACTGGTTTCCAGTCCATGCTAATGGCGTTGCTTTTCCTTGTCGTTGCAGAACGTGAGACTTGAACCCGGCGGCATGGCCTTTGAGCTGTGGAAAGACATTCCCGTGCCATTCCACCTCTCCATCTACTTCTTTGAGGTGCTGAATTCGAAAGAAATTCTCAGGGGAGAGAAGCCCGTGGTGAACCAGCGCGGCCCTTATGTCTACAGGTCTGAGCTTTTACTCCTCTGGATTCGTCCGTGTATAAGCTTTGATCCGTTTTCCGTAAAAAAAAAACCTGATTCCCCATCAGATATGTCTTGTGCACAAACTTCACAGTTAAAATGGCAATTACCATAAAGCAACAAGACAGTGCGGTTTACACAATAGTCTGTTGGTGAAAACCAAGCCGAATAGGAAATCTTTGTATGCCCGGAGAAAGAATTCAAGGCGGTGGTGGGGAGTTCCACAGTCTTTCCTTTTGGCTGTTGTGAATTTTCCACCACTCTGTTGCACCCAAATAGGGTGAGACAAATGGAGGGGGGGAATCTATGTATTATTTTATTTTATTAGATTTATACCCTGCCCATCTAGACCAAAGGTCTACTCTGGGCATCCACAACCCACATTTCGTTTCTTTCTATCCAACCTTTCTTCCAGTGGATTCTACTTTTTGCTTCTCCCTGCTTTTTCTTTACAACACCCCTACGAGGTAGTTCAAAGAGAGAATCACTCAGGGAGGTCCCTAGGGAGTTTCATAGTTCAGTGAGGGTTGAATCTCTTATCCTGTCCTCTCTTTTACCCACCCTTTTTTCTCAGTGAAGGATGCTTAGGCATGAGCTTGGATGTCAGCTTTCTCAGTGGCCTAAGTCTCTGGCTTTGGAACCAGAGGTTGGGAGTTCGAATTCCCCCACTGTGCCTCCAGGGAGAAGGGCCAGCCTGGGTGGCCTTGGGCCAGCTGCCCCATGGCCCAGGCCTGCCCCCCCCCAGAAGAAGGGAACGGGGAGCTACTTGACAGGGGCCGGACCTGATGATCTATAGATCCCTTCCAGCTCTGCATTTCTAAGATGATTAATAGTAGCAGGTATCATTTACCTGGTCTGCACCCGGATGATGGAGGGCAACTGCAGCGAATCTGTAAAGAGTCTCGGTGGAGACTTGATGGAACGGAGATTTTTGCTGATCTGCTTTTCCCAGGAGGTTCAGCTGCCAGCATAATGCTGAGCTTGTTCCCGGCCTCTATTTTTTTTCCCCCTCCCCTACAAAGTGGCTCAGCCTGCTTGTCGATGCTGAATATATGCATTGTGGCGCCATACAATGAAAGCAGACACAGCAAAAAAAAAAAGCTTCTTAGCCTGAATGCTTTTGTCTGGAGATTAGGTTTAAAGCCAAAGGGGGGTCCCTTCGCCTTCTTCCTTTCAAAGCAGAAGCATCTGGATTTATGGGGCACGCCGTGTAAAGGAGGCCTGGGGAGATGCCCATCCACTACCTTCGTATCCCCCTGATAGGGATGCAGGCCCTTATTTCCTGTCTTTAAGGCTCTTTTCAGTTTTAACCAGAGTTTGGCAAGTTATTTTTCTAGAAGTAATTTGTTCCTGTGGCTTGTTATAATGTTTGAAATGTAACCTGTTGCTGTTTGCGGTTAGAATGTTGGGAAACTAATTGCATTACTTGTTGGGAAACTAATTACATTACTTGTTGGGAAAGTAACTATATTACTTGCTGAAAACCTAATTACATTACTTGTTGGGAAAGTAATTATATTACTTGTTGAAAACCTAATTACATTATTTGTTGGGAAAGTATTTACATTACATGTTGTGGAATTACCTTGGAGGGACCCCTAGATGTGACGAGAGAATTACTTAATAAAAGCTTGGCACATTCCTGACAAAATGCCTTCAGACATTTTGAAGACATAGTACTAGAAAGCAACTGGAAAGCACCAGCCAAGTAACGTTGTTCATGCCAATTGCAGTACTTTTAAAATCTACTTCATTACATTTTCATTACTTGGGCAGGAAGCAATTAGTTACTGGTAATTAAGTTACTTGTAACTTGTCAGTTCCAAGCCCTGCTTCTAACAGATTGCTGTAGGGCCCAAGGCTAGTTACTCAACTTAAGGCAGAAGGCGGCTCTCTCAGTTGTATCCCTGTCTGCGTGGTGGTGCTTAGAAGCACAGGAGCCTTCAGAGAAGGAGGAATTGGCAGCCCCGTGCTATTGACAGCCAGAATAGCTGTGTGGCTGGCATCTCATTGCTTTTGGTGCAAGCAGGAAGCTGGCTTATGTCAATGAGGTCATCATCCTTCGTAGAAACCTCTGGGCAGCCTCCAAATGTGCCAGAGAGCACCGGAAACCCATGTTTGAAAGCCATTCGGCTACATGCGAGCAGGAGGCTGGTTTACGTCAATGAGGTCATCATCCCTGACTTTGTAGAAACCTTTGGGCAGCCTCTGAATGTTCCAGAAAGCATCGGGAAACCCATGTTTGAAAGCCATTCGGCTAACGTCTGAGACCTTGGTAGCTGTCCATTTGTTTTTAACCGTTGTCCTCCCCGCAGTTAGAGCTGACAAATCTTCCTTCGTTCTCACCTTGCCTTCAAGCGCCCACCGGGTAGCCCCTTAAAACCCAGCCGTGATCTTCACACCCCCACCTTTTGCATGGCGAGGTCTTCTCCCCAGACCGGTCTGTCAAATTGGGAAATGGGTGGCGCAGATTGGTGAAGATCATGGTGGATCTCTGGGGCGAACAGGTGGCGCCCACAGCTTGCCCGTGTTAGCGATTTCTTCAAGTGTCAGGGTGGAGAAAGAAGCTGGAACCCGTTAGGTTCCGGCTGTCAACACCCAAGCAAAGTTAGGTGTGTGCATGTAAAATTAAGCCTCCAGGTTGTCAGCCTCTTTATGCTAATTGGAGCTGATGAGGATGAATAACCTCAGCTGACAACACTCAGAATTCATTACCCTTACTCTCTATGCTCCAGCCCTGTCTCCCGAATCAGGCAAGCTTCCCCGGAAGCGTGAGCAATCTTGCCTTCCGCTTTCTCTTACAGGGAGTACAGAGAAAAACACAACATCACTTTTCACGACAACGGCACCCTGTCCTTCTTAGAGTACCGGCGTTACCACTTCCAGCCGGACATGTCCAACGGGTCGGAGTCCGATTACATCGTCGTACCCAACATGTTGGTGATGGTAAGCGGATCGCGCACTCCGGGGAGGTGGAGTTCCGTCATCGTCCCATTGAACGCAGCCTCGTTGTACTTGATGGGACAAGCTTCAGAAGTGACGAGCGGAGGGCTGCCCTGTTGGGCTTCCGTTTAATAAGCGTTGTTCATCCTGTCCTGTATTGCTTAATTTGTTCATTACATTTATATCTTCACGGCAAAGCCCAAAGTTAGTCGGTTGTTATTTGCCTCGTTGGGTTGGACGCCTTTGGAAAAATCGATGCAATTTTGGAGAGGGAATTGGGCTTTGTGCATGGTGGGGAAACGGAGTCTTCCACAACACAAGTGATTTGTGAGATAATTGATTTACACACACACACCCTTCTCTCCTTTCCTTTCCCTCCCATTGCGCTTGCCCGGGATCCTTAGGGAGCGGCCGTCATGTTGGACGACCTCCCGTTTGCTGTGAAGCTGACCGTCAGCAGTACCTTTGCCTTCTTCCGAGAGACCGCCTTCATGAACCGGACGGTGGGCGAGATCATGTGGGGCTACGACGACCCCCTCGTGGACTTCCTGAACTCCATTAAGCCCGGAATGATCCCCTTCAAGGGGAAGTTCGGACTCTTCTCCGAGGTGAGTCGGTGGAAGAAGAGAGGCCTCTGAAGTTTGACTCCGGGAGGTCCAGGGAGGTCCGGGCTGAGCCCGGCTCCCTTGAAGCTTGGAAGCAAAAAATGGGCGCTTCGACATCCTTGTGGAAAGAAAGGAACCGCTTGACTTGTGTCATGCTTGTCGTGGGTTAAAAACGGTTGAGTTGCTCAATGACCCCATCAGGTTTCCCGTGTTTCAAAATGGCCAGGGGAAAAAAAAATTGGTCAGAATTACCGCCCTGGTAAGCACTAAAAATAATACAAGCTCACGGTTGAAAATTTTCATGAGTTTAAAGAACGGGTATCTAGTGAATTATTTCCAGGCTTGAATGGGTGTCTATTTAATGCAAACGGCTCACATTCCTCGTGTGATTACTCTTGCGCAACTACCAAAGCGAGCAGTATTTTAGCCTATGTCTGTGAGCGATGGACTTTTTCAGCAGCCAGAGGGTAGATCTTGACTTCAGTGCATTTCTCTTGCATAACGGGAGGCGGAGAGATTATTTTTTTCCCCAACGCAGTCCTCTACCCCAGAGAAGGGCTAACATTCAAGATCTTTCCAGCAGAGCTTTAAAAATAAAAGCCTTCGGGGTGAGTTGTGGGGAGGAAGAGATGTAACCGAAGTTCCCATCACTTCCATTTTAGTTCAACAACTCAAATACCGGCCTTTTCACCGTGTTCACGGGGATGAAAGACATCTCGAAAGCCCACATTGTGGACAGCTGGAATGGAATGAAGAAGGTAAATCCCAAGTTAATTCTCTTTTTCAAACCCACTGTATGCTCCTTTTTTTTCAAGGTAGGAAGGAAAACAAAACCCCAGCCATTCAGGATCCTGCCACTCAGATGTTTTAACAAACTCACTGTGGACCATGTCAATCTTTATGCATCATCTTCTGGTTTCAGGCTAACCTGCCACTTATCTCCGGCCCCGTCCACTTATTGAAGAATCTTTAAAAAAGAAAGAGAGAGACCAGTTTTTTAATACCACAAGTTTACCCCTTTGAAAACGCTGCGTGTTCTCCTGTCCAAATAGGTGGGGAGAGAACGTTTGTGTCCTGCAGCCTTGAAATTTAAAATTCTCTGGTCTGTGTAGCAATGAGGGGAAAAGGTTGAATCTTTTGGCCGGTCTCAAAGAGAGGCGAGCAAAGCAAATCGTAGAATCACAGAATCATGGAGTTGGAAGGGCATCTTTTGGCCGTTCTCAAAGAGAAGCGAGCAAAGCAAATCGTAGAATCATGGCGTTGGAAGGGGCCCTCGAAGGCCATCCAGTCCAACCCCCCCCACTCAAGGCAGGAATCCAGATCAAAGCAGATCTGACCGAGGGTGGTCCCGTTGTCTCTTGAAGGCCTCGGGCGTTGGAGCGCCCATCACCTCCCGAGGTCATTGCTTCCATTGTTGTACTACTCTAACAGTTAGGAAGTTTCTCCTGATATTCAACTGAAATCTGGTTTCCTGTAACTTGAGCCCCGAGTCTAGCGCTCTGGGATGATTGAGAACGGATCCAGAAGGACAGTATTGCTTCCCATAAGTAGGTTGGAGAACTGAAAGAGGATGATAAAAGGGAAGTCACGTCCAAAATTATGTGGTGCAGGAAGAGAGGGGGATGTGATCAGTGGCTTGGGGGGGGAGGTGGAGATTGCGTGTCTTCCCTCTGTATCTTAGTGCTGAGCATCTCCCGTAGGTGTCTTACTGGCGGTCCGATCAGTGCAACATGATCAACGGAACCTCTGGGGAATTGTGGCCCCCTTTTATGACTCGTTCCACCCCTGTGGAATTCTACAGCCCCGATGCTTGCAGGTAAGCTCAGCAAACATCCCAGAACTTGGGAAAATAGCCCCGACGACCGTGCGAAATCTTGGCGTCGTGATTCCAACAGTCATTTCTCCGAGGAAGGCAAACTACAGGTCTTGTAGATGTTGTCAAGGACCAGGTGGCTTGGAGCAGATGGAGTCCACCGGTACTAACAATCCTGTGCCGTCTTACAGTGACCCTTTTCCAGGGATTTTTAGGTAGAGCATCCACAGAAGTGATTTTCCACTCCCTTCCTCTAGGGGGCAGCCTTGGGACTGCCGCTGGCCCAAGGCTACCCAGGCTGGCTCTTCTCCCAGGAGGCCCAGTGGGGGATTCAAACTCCCAACCTCTGTCTCCGCTAAGGCAGAGATTTAAACCCTTGAGCTATCCAGCCAATGTGATTTCCCAAACTAAAGGAAATGAACAGACAAAACAGCAAGAATAGGGGGCTTGTGTGCAGGAACCCTAGCCCAGCGAGAGTTTTGAAGGGTCAACTCCGTTTTCTCATGCTCCGTGTCTCTCAACATCCCTGTTTTCCAGGTCCATAAGGCTTGTCTTCAGTAAAACTGGAAAATTTAAAGGCGTACCTACCTACCGTTTTGTGGCCCCAAATACCTTGTTTGCCAACGGAACGGTCTATCCGCCCAACGAAGGTTTCTGCCCCTGCCGAGCGTCGGGAATCCTGAACGTCAGCACCTGCCGATTCAGTACGTCGGACCATTTTTTGGGGGAGGTTTACGAGATAAATTTGAAAAGGACAGAGAGAGGCAGCTTCTGAGGAATTAAGTAGAAGGAAAGGGGAGGCTGGATAAGGTTTCCCGGTCAATGAGAGGCCAAGGCATCATCATTTTCTCCAAGGTTGGACCAGCCATGCTCAACAGGGGCCATAGGGTCACCCTGGAGGGCCCCCCCCCGGTACATTTAAAGGTGGGCTATAGAGTGGAAACAAGACTTCACACCCACCACCTTCTAAAGCTTGTTCCATGACTTCTACAATCCTGATTTGGCCCCTGTTTTTTTCATATTATGTTTATGGCGGTGGCCAAAACAAGGTTGAAAGGGACCCTGAGAAAAATATAACACTGATGCGGGCCGTTTCGTCTCTTTTCCTTTGCCTCCCACGACACAAAGGAAACCAGGACTTGAGCTGTTTCTTCCTTCCGCCTTTTTTTGCCTTCTCCTTTGCTCCTTTTTGCCCGACGAAGGACGTGCTCTTTTAAAAATGGACACCATTAGTCGTCCTTTTCCATCCTTTCCTTCGCACCCAGTTCTGCGGACGTTGGGATTTGTTTCACACCCGCAGAGCTGGGCTTTTCTGCATTTCTGTCCACATCGGCTTTCTTTTTCACCCTTTCTGCTTTTTAGGGCCTTTCGAAAGGTGTAAATCATACACGTTTCATAATCTGACTCATTTTGGACCCAGAGATTAGGTGAACACGGTGCCAGCTGTTCAGGGGCCTGCATTGGCTGGTGCTTTCCCCTCTGCAGCCGATGTCTGGGAAATCTCTTAATGTCCCTAGTTATTTAACGTTGCCTTCTGTGCCCTCCAGAATTAGGTTAAGTATTTCTCAAGCTGGCCTTAAGTAATGGGCATGCAGTGGGTGCCAGCTTGGTGAAAGGGCACGCAACCTCTAGAGACAGAGGAAGAAAATAAATTGTTCCTTTTTCACTTTCCTTACCCTCCACCATTGTGAACAAACTTCCTGCTTGGCTTCCCAGTTTTCATGACTGCTGAGCAAACAGAACTCTGGTCTAGCTGTTACGTCTTGGCCCTTACTCATGCTTTCTATTCAACTTCCTACCTTTCGGCATACGCATATTTAATGCAAGCATCTCCAAACAAACAAAACAAAACAAAAAAACCTCTCTCTATAAATATTGTTGATTAGTAGGTGATGGTTCTCTACGTTTCAAACCAAATCTGGCAGAGCATAGCGCTAACTGGCTAGCACCCGTGAGGTTGCAAACACGTGTCCCTCTCAGTCCCAGGAGAAGGTTTTTCCCTTGGAAAGGGGTGTGTGCCTAAATCTGAGAGGCACAGATAGTGAGGTCATTACACATACATGCAGATACCCACACACATACCTTTCCAATGAGATGGGGGGAAAAACTGCCCCAGGATTGAGAAGGACAGATGTCTGCAACCTCTCGGATACTAGCCAGTTTGTGCTGCACTCAGCCAGGTTGTGCTTTCAAGTTACAGAACCGCCTTCCACCCTGCCCTAGTTCAAAGCCCAGGAAGAAAATCAGTACCGTACCCTAAATGCAGTCAAGATGTTTGCAAGCTGGCTCTCCAGCGGTTTGTCCTGTTTTTCTGCTCTACCAGTATGATTGTTGGGCTATCCCAGCAAGATGGGGGAGAAGGCACAGCTTGGTCACAAAATATTCTTTTTGGCATTGTGTCGTCTTGGAATAGGAATTTTGCCTGCAGGGAGGGACTCAGTTTGTCATTACTCTTGTTTATTAAAACCCCGATTCCAGTCCCCGACAGCACACTTGTGCGTGAAGAGCAGTTCACCTTTCCTTTCACTTTTTCCCCCAAAAGATGCACCGATGTTTCTTTCCCAACCTCACTTCCTAAATGCCGATCCATCCTTGCTGGAAGAAGTGGACGGCTTGCATCCTAGCGAAGAGAAACATGGGCTTTTCCTGGACCTGCACCCCGTAAGTTCAGCCAGTCACCTTTTTTTTTGTTTTGTATACGTTGCTGCAATGAACTTCCCCAGGAAGCATTTAATTTTGTTAGACTTTTGACAAAGGCTGAAAGAAGGAGGCAGTGGATATCTCAGGCGGGCCCATCCAATCCTGATTCACATACTGGCCTGTTCTGGAAGGGAAACCGTTTCTTATCTCATCTGGTTAGCTCCGTATCTAATCTGCTCTCCCCCGGTAATCTCATTTTTGTGCCGTAGAACCTGCAATTGATTCCATAGTACAAGGGTATTTTTAATTATGATGTTGATTAAGGTGGCTTTAAACCCATAAATCAATTAGCGTAGAGATTTTCGCAGGCGGTGGGGCCACCCTGGGGAGTGTTCACAAGATATCCGAAGGCAGGGAATGTGAAGTTTTGAGAAAAAGGAGGACTTGAACAGAAGTCTTCTCTCCCCTGAGACCAGGTTTAGCAGCATAGCCAGCCAAATACAGCAGAGAAGGACATGTCAGCATCCCTTCAAAGTATTTAGACAAGTGTTGACAAACCTGAGCCACTCTGGACTTGATGAATGACTGCTTTGCATCTGTGCAATACGGCCACTTCGGGGCATGTTAGGTTTCTCGATCTCTGCACTGACAAAGTGTGTTTCTTTTGATATGGTCTAGCGTAGCAGTCAAGGAACGAAGAGGGACTAGAACCGATAGACTTGTGGGCCTCTTCTAGATCCCACAAGAAATGACCACTGCTTAAAAATTATTCCCCAAGGGTTTCTTGATGCGGAGGCATAGAGATCACGTTGGGTGGATGTCACATCATTTTGTGGGAACTTCCCACCATGCCCTTTCTCTTTTCCCCAGGGCAGTTTGTGGGGAAGTTGTCAAGTTTAGGTTTCTTGAATAGGATCTTAACCGTTTTTTTCTAATAAATCTACTGTATATCCCTGTTATTTTTTAGCAAAAGCCTTGGGGAGTCCTTTAAAAAGGCCATTGCTATTCCATGGCCCTGGGTCGGGTCTGCCCTTATGGGGGCTGGCATTTTTGGGTGGAAATTCCCCTTACTCAAAGGTTCTCCTAATTCCCCTTTTTAAAAAAAGTTTTACAAACCTTTTAACATCTCCTGCTCTCTCCCTCTTTTGCACTGAGTTTTGTTTTTTTGATCTTGTAAAAGTTGCTTCCTGGACTGCAGCTCCCAGACCGATCCACCCTACCCACCATGCTAGTTTAAGGATGCTGGGTGTTGTAGTCTGAAAAAAAGGAGCTCCCACCCCCCGCCCAGAAACCAGTATGTCAAGAACTGACTGATCTTGTAGTATATGGGCCGATGCCTCTGACCCGGTTCTTTTTCCAGATGAAGAGGTGGATTGGCCCCGATCCAGAGGCTTGTTATACAAAAGCTCCCAGTTCATGTAACAGAACGGAACGCATGCTGTTCCCGTCTGTTCTCGCCTCCGTTTGCTTTTTTCCAATCAGATTAAATTCTTTGGCCCAGGAATAAAGCTCTGGAAATTCCGTGCACGCCAGGATTATGCAAATAATTTTATGTGGGTGGGTGCGTATATGTTTGGATGTATATTCTGGTGTATCTTTAACTACGAAGCAACATGGCGTCTGGCCAAACCTTGGGACAGCCTGGGTACGTCTCGGCGGACGATTATATCATTAGCTGACCTTTGAGCGTTTGCACCGCACTAATTTAGATAATCCTAGATCTAGCCATTCTTCTTATTTTATCCTGTCCTGTTGATTATGGCTTTCCCTGTCTTTTCTTAGCAAAACATCCTTGCTCTTTTTATAACACATGCTGACCCACCTTTCCTTCTAGTTGCTCAGGCTGGCGTTTTAGATTTATAGGAAACTTGTAAAGCGAAAAATAACAGAGACGAGGCAGCTTTCAGGCAGAGGCAGAGAAAGCCTCCGGCAACCATTTTAAGAAAAACTGATATATATATTTTTACTAGCGGTAGACAGTACCAGTCGGACCTCCCTATCCGTGGGTTTGGTGTCCGCTGATTTGCTTATCCGTTGGCTGAAAATATTAAATAAGAAAACCTAGAAATCCCTATTGATATGTATTTTCCAGGTGTATTTATCAGAACCGGCCACCAGAGGGAGACAGAGACCATGAAATGACAGAGACCATGAAATGTTCAATGCTTCCACATTTTTAGCATCTACGCAGGGAGGGCTTTGAATCTTATCCCCCATTGGTTCTCTCCATCCTACTGTATGGACTACAGATCCCATAAGTCCGCAGGCAGTTCTCAGAGGGAAATGGCTGCCTAGGGAAGCATAATTGTCATTTCCTCCTAAATAGCCACCTTTGGGGTGTTTGACTAAATCCTGCATAGTTCCCCGCTAGTGGCCATATTGGGGTGGGGTGGGTGGATGATAGGCCTTGTAGTCCACCTCTTGGGAGGATGCCGTGTCAAGGAAAGTTAGCGTAGGTTTCTCTCTCTGCTTTGAGCGAAGCTGCTGCAAGCTTAGTAAAGCTTCGGCTGCACCCGAGATTTCTGAAACTCCTTCTGCCAGTAACGACCCTAACGATTCCTTAGGGGCCGTGTCTGATCCAAACGCCAGCAGCATTACCAGAAGCCTACTGTGTTTTGAGCGGCAGGCGTGAGGCGACCCCTGACTTTGAAATGAAGCCAGAGAGCCCAGTCATGAAATAAATAAACCCCAGGCTGGAGAAGTCTCCTGCATCCACCCACATCGAAAGAGTTGCTTAATTTTAAAAAAAACAACTAACTCTTTTTTTTCAAGCAATGCAGGGATCACTGGGACCAAGATCATCAACCTTGGTTCCTCAACAAATATCTAGTGCAACACTTTGGGGGGGGGGTAAAGGATCGGCCCCTTGCCCAAGGGGCACCCGGGGGGGGGTTACTCCTAATGCTTTCCCTTTCCTTCGGGAAGGCTCCTTTTAAATCCCTTATTATGGGACCATGGAGAGTTTCAATCCACGCAGCACTTAACATGCGTGCAATTTCTGCCCCACCGCATCTACTAAAGATCTAGCCAGTGGCTGAGAGAACGTGGTTGAAGGGAGTCCACTTCTCCTCAAAACATAGTCCGATTATCTTAACGGCTTAATTTGTTTTTAATTTTACCTCTGTTTGCAACGCCCTGATACAAATAGAAAAAGTAAGAAAAATCAACTTTGGCCCCTAGCGCTGGTTTCTTGCCTTTGCTGAATTTGCTTTTCTTCTTTATACAGTTCTAAAGTCTGTGTGCTTCTTTACTATGTGGCAAGCAGACAATATTGTGTAACGCTACGTCTGCCCCCCCTGCCCCCCCGCCTCGTGGCTACCATAAAAGAAGGGGCCATCATCACACAATCTTTATTAAAATTGGTGCAATTCCGTAGATAAGAGAGGTTCAGAGTGTTTTGATAGCGGTGGTCGGTGCTGGGAGTCTGGATATGACCATGTTGTCGCTTCTAATACTATCTGAAGGGGGGGGTGGAATGAATCTGGGGGTGGCAAATTTAGTTGGAAAGCAAAAGCAGGTCCTCCCAGTAAGGGGAACCAGGGTGGAGGGCTCACGATATTGAAAAGAATCAAATGAAAACCAGAATAAATTAAACATTATTTTAAAAAAACAATTAAACGATACACTAATTAAAATACAACTGTACAATTAAAAGCAAGTAAACATAAAAAACTGTTCATTTCAAGAAGTCCTTTTGGCTTGTTTTAAAATCCTAGAGTCACAGCGTTGGAAAGGGGCCTCTCAAGGCCATCCAGTCCAACCCCCTGCTCGAGGCAGGGATCCCAATCCGAGCAGATCTTCAAGGATACTTTATTTGGCTTAGTCTGTTTTTGCCGTGAGGTGCTTCTCGAGGTCCTTGTGCAGAACGTTGTGTATGAAAAAATAAACATCAGTACAAAAGAAACGAAAAACACATTTGTGTCTTCCCTCCCTTTCAACGCAGCTGACCGGGATTCCTATGTCGTGTGCGATCAAGTTGCAGCTCAGTCTTTTTATGAAAAAAGTCACCGGCATATTGTAAGTAGCAAAAGGTCCTTGAACGATGGACTTCTTTTGTTAATATGAGGGTTGGGTTTTTTAAAATGTGGTTTCCCCCCGTTCCCCTCCATTCAGACTCTTGGGGATTCCATACACTTGCATGCAAGCCTGTGGCCAGCCCTAAATTGAGAGTTAAGTGTTGTTGACAATCAGGTCTTCCGATTCTTATGTTTTGCTCCTCACCTTTCAGGCAAACAGGATCGATCAATCCCGTTGTGTTGCCTTTACTGTGGTTCGCAGAGGTAAGCCGTGTTCGCTGCTTGTTGTCATTAGTCGGTAGGAATAACAACAGGAAAAGTAGGCAACGTAGACAAAAAAAAAATGATGACGGCCCATTCTGTTGTCTAAGATACGGAAAAGTAGGCAACGTAGACAAAAAATTGATGACGGCCCATTCTGTTGTCTAAGATAACCCATGTGTGAATTTAACCTTATGGAAGCGTTGACAACTGGCTTCTGGGTGTCGAGGTCTGCTCAGGCAGCCATTACGGAAATCCTATGTGCTGCAGGGAGAGGAAGGAAGAAGAAGTGATCTTAGGAAGAAGCACAAAGGAAGCGAGCCTGAGAGTACCAATCTGCATGCCTATATACAGATAAGAAGAGGAGAAGAAATGCACTCAGATCAGGCCCATCTCACTATCTTCCCGTTCATTGCACACCCCTCGTTCGGATTTGGCCCTCTGTCCCACGCTATTTGGAGCACGTTTTCTTACAAACACGCACGTTTCCAAAGAAATTTGGGATTTGTACCAAGCAGGAGATTATTGCGGGTTTGAACGTAAGCCAGGTTTAACTGGTTGAAAGTTTGTGGCTTCATTTCATTTGGGAAAGAAGAAGAAGAAGAAAAAAAACACGTGTGTGTGTGTCTAAAGGTTCAGATCCCAAACAAGAACCTTGTATAAGCGGGTTTTGTAACAGTTTCTTCAACCCTTGGCCTACACGAGGCTTGGCGTATTCAGCTCTCTTGCTATGAATAAAACTTCTGTGGATGGCTGGGGAGAAAGGCTAAATCTCTCTGTTGGATGAAAGCTCCCACCACCTCTGCCATCGCTCTTGTGAGCTTCCCAAGACAAAGCCACAAAAGAACAATGGTTGTTTATTATTCAAAGCAAAGTGTGCTGTTTTATATACCGTCCCATAGCGCTTAAAGCTATCTCTGGGCAGTTTACAATTTAATTAATGCAGGCGACGCATGGTGTCCCCCTCCCCCTGCCATGCATGAGCTGAATACTCAACTTACCGGCCTTCAAGAGTGGGAGGTTGAGTCAACCTCAAGCTGACTATCGGAGTCCGTCCGGATCAAAATCAGGCCGTGAGCAGAGTCTTTACTGCAGTACTGCGGTTTAACCACCACATCACGCGGCTGTATTGAAGCCGTTGAACTATCTTTATTTCTTCTTCAGTGCTCTTTAGAATCCTGCTTATGAATAAATAAATCCAGACCCTCATATCTCTTCCTTTTTCTTTTTCTTTTTGAGCAGAGTGGAGACATCGAGGGCAATGTTTTAGATGAGTACTACGCCTACATGGTGCTCCTTCCTTCTGTGATCGAATACGTCCAGTACTGCCTGGTCGCTCTCGGGGGTTTCCTGCTCATCATGGCGGCCTTCTTTGGTTTCAGAAGCAAGGTAGGGCTGGGACCGACCGCCTCCCCGTCCGGATCGCCTTGGCTCTCGAAATTCTCTGCTTGATTTCCCCTTTGATTCAACCCGATCCAGCTGAACCGTTCACCTGTTCCGAAGAAGGGGTTGTTAAAAGGGAGAAAGGTCTCGTGGTGCTTTCCCTGAAATGGGGATTCGCCACAAGCGTGATTATTTCTGGTGTTTTAAAAGGTAGCAAAAGCAACCAGCGAAGTGCGTCTTGGAAGTCTGGAAGTCTTGTCTTTATAGCGTTAGATAGTTTGCAGGATACGTGGGGCAGAATTGGCTCGAGGCTATGTACGTTACACTATGGTATTGAGTTCCAGCCTGTAAGATTACTCAGGATTCCCATTTGCAAATTACAGAGGTAACGCAGCCAACCTCCCAAAACACCTGGCGCAGGCTGCCTTTATGTCTGTTCCTTGCAGCTCTGCCTAATTGACTTAAGGCGGTTAAATGGCAAATCTCTTTGTTATAAAATCAAGCGTGAACAAACCCTGTTCCGGGAAGCCGGGCTTAAGCAACCGCTTCTGACAGAGCCCCTAAAACCAATTAAGTGCACAGGGCTGGGTGCGTGTTTTGCTAAGGAGCCGATCTAAGGAGCATAGATCTTTGGCTCGGCAGGTGAAAAGGGCCCTGAAATTGTCTTCCGCGTTGTGAATTGTTGAATCGTACTGAATCACTGACAGATTAAGAGGCCTGGGCAGTTGGTCCTGAGTTCAAGAAGCGTCGTTCCCTCTCTCTCTCTCTTGGGTAAAGAGAGAGGGTCTCCCAAGTGAGACTGAAAATGAACTGTAGGGTGCAGGGTGTGGTTCTTGCCAGGAAATGCATTTGGGCCACTAGGATGCTTCTGTCCCATAGTACTGCCTCCTGAGAAGTCCAGCTTTTTTGTATCTGCTTTAAAAAGTCATGCTGCTAGTCCCTGTGGGTTTCTAGTCGGCATTGGTCTGTGACGATAGAAAAAGTCATGTAAAACGTACATAGTCCCTGCAAGAAGCAGCTAGAGCATTTTTCATATGCTCAGCAGTGGTCCCCAACCTTTGGGCCTCCAGATGTTCTTGGACTACAACTCCCAGAAGCCTCCACCACCACCTCTGCCAGCCAGGATTTCTGGGAGGTCCAGAACATCGGGAGGCCCAAGGTTGGGGACCACTGCTGCTAGAGGCCCTTAAGGACAGCAAGAAGACATGTTAAAGCAGGGGCAGGATGCAACATCTGGGTGCAACCCCAGATGTTATTAGACTGCCTCTCCCATCAGCCTTAGCCCACATAGCCAGTAGTGAGGGATGCTGGGATTTGCGGTCCAACCATCCCTTGGACAGGACACTGATTCCCATCTCTTGTTTTAAAACCTGGAGTGAAAGGAGCCGGGTTTCTGTTTTGTATCGATGATGCTCAAGTTAAGTGGATCAAATGCATTTCATCTGAGCCGACGGGGCTTGAAGGGGGTCCTTTACAGGAGCTTTGAAAAAAAACCCGCCTGGCTTTTGTTCCCTCCCAGGTGCAAAACCTCTGGGCCGCGGCGCAGGACGCAGGGTTTTCTGCTTTGCCTTTTAAGCGCAGAACGTTCCCAGGCCTCGTCATCTGAGGACGGGGCCCGTCTTTCTCAAGGGCTTCCCAGATTTCTGGCTTAATGTGGGTTCTTGGTGTGCGGCTGGAACTCGGGAAGCCAGACCGAGGAGTAAAAGAAGGTAGAGGAGGTCTTCTGTTTCCCCGAACTCTTGGTGTGTTTCGCTCTTTTCTCGCGCTCACTCTCTCTGGGCTCCTGATGTGGTGTCAGGATCGCATCTGGCAGCGCTGGGAAACCCGAATGTGGCCGAAGGACAGGGGCTAAAGGAAGGTCTTGCCAACACCTTTAAGGAAAAGGAAGAGGAAGTGTATAGTTTAGGGGTACCCCTCCAGCTCAAAAGATCTTGAGGAGTGTAAGCTGAGAGGGACCGGGGAAAATCGCCACCAGCCAAGGTTAGGGAACGGAGGCACTAAATGGCCACCCGCCTGCCGATCTCTTAGACCCTGGCAAGGAAGCAGTGGAAATGCCTGTGACGTTTCCCCCGGGACATGGCAGACCCCGAGGGATAAAGCTCCCTATTAACCGAGGGGTGGTCACTCCCTCCGGCCAGTTGCCGCTGTAAGGTCGCTTGTGTACGGATGGGCCAGAGAGAGGGAGAAAGTCCCGTCTGTCATTGTGAGGTTGTGCAAAAGTTAAATATAAGACCGTCAGGACGGCAAGGGAAGGGAGCGAGAAAGAAACCCCCCTAGAAAAGTTGAAATGTGTGTGTGGGCTTCTGCCGTTTTGAAACTGCTGGATGGGCACGTTGGTGTGAAAGCCACACACAGGTTCTCCCGAGTTTGGGAGTCTGAGGCTGCTGCTTCGGCCGTCGCTAGCGCCTTGTTGTGCAGGCGTCAGGAGCTTGACCGGCCCCTACTGGCGGGCAGAGTGGAGCAGGAAGTATGGAAAGAAGAAAAGGAAGAAAGCCCACGGGAAAAGCAGATTTGTTGGGTGCCACTTCTGTGGCAAAATGGGGGGGCAGCCAAACATCAAAAAAAAAAAAAAACAACCACATTGTTGAATTAAAGCCTCCTCTCTGAGTCCAAAATACTTCCCTATCCAGAACAGAGGGTTGCTTCTCTGGGAGTAAGGAAAGTCTGCAGTATTTTTGCTGGGATTGAACCATGCTTGCATTCCCCCCCCCATCCGATGATCTTGCCTTGGAAGGAGACAGCGGCTCCTGGGTGGATCATTGCTTCGGACCCGCCTGCTTTTCTTCCGGGACCCCTTTTCTTTCCAGACGACAACAAAGTTGGGAGCAGGTTGATTCTCTTTTTAAAAAGAACGCTCTTTCGATGGAAATGTTGAAAGATACAAAACCCAGCCCCCCACCCCACCCCACCCGGGCATCCTTCACCGCAACAGGGTGGCGTTAATTGTGGACAGGAGGAGAGCGGGCCAGTTTTTTTACAACAATATTTGGAGGGTTCACTCCGTGTCACCAGAGGACGTACCACGTGGAAGTCCTGTGTGCATCACCCCCCAGCGCTAAACATAGACCACGTATTGTATTACTTGATTCTTGTAGGCCTGTTATGACTACTAGTCCTGTTCATTTCCCCCACCTTACGGCTGCATGCTGGAGAAATTCTGACATTGTGGATGGCTCTTTGCACCGTGCCTACGCACGCCTCTGTCCTGTGGTGGCCTTTGGTGACATTTTAAGTACGATTCAGGTCTGCGTATGAAACGAGGCGAAGGGAATCCTGGAATTAGCTGGTTGTTCTTGAAAGAACGGCAGCCACAGGCCTGATTCGGATCAGGAAGAAAATAGGGTGAGGGTCACAAATTCAAGACTGTTCTACCCCGCCATCACAATCTTCATCCAGACAAGTTGTCCCGTGTCTCTACCATGAAGTGCAGTGGGCTTTTTAAAATATCCATGCAAGCGTAGAGAACAGGTGGGTGTCCAGCTTGGCCCAGTGTAAGAAGAACAAGACATTGACTAGGTTACACCTCCAGGGTCTAATACCAGCAGACCTTAACTAGAGGTCGTTGAACTTCTTTTACAGGAAAGGATGAATCCAAACCTTAGCATGGAGTCCTGTTTTCTGGATGTTTGCTCCTACATGAAGGCCAATCCTCATCTCTGAAATCCTTTCTGTTAAAATCCCTTCCAATGAGTAGCACCGCTGTCTGTAATTCTTAGCTTACGCTGTCAGATTTTAAATATACAGTGGTGCCTCGCTTAACGATGATAATCCGTTCCAGGAAAATCACCGTTAAGCGAGAACATCGTAAAGCGAAAATAAAAACCCCAGTGAAACGCATTGAAACCCGTTCAATGCATTCCAATGGGGTAAAAACTCACAGTCCAGCAAAGACCCTCCATACGGCGGCCATTTTTGCTGCCTGTATAGCGAGGCATCCATCCCTAAACACAGCGGGGAGCCATTTTACTCACCCGGCGGCTATTTTGAAACCGCCGATCAGCTGTTCAAAAAACATCGTTTTGCGAAGAATCGGTTCCTGAAGCAGGGAACCGATCATTGCAAAGCGAAATTCCCCCATTCAGACCATCGTTTTACGATCGCAATTGTGATCGCAAAAGATCGTCGTTAAGCGGTTTCATCGTAATGCGGGGCAATCGTAAAGCGAGGCACCACTGTATACATATATATATGTACCTACATACTTCAAAAACATTGTGTAATGAAACTCAAAAAATCACACTCAAGCCAGTTTAGAATGGTGTTCGCATGAAATCTTCATTTTCTCAACAGACTCTGAATCTTTCACGGCAGAAGAACGGGTCTGTTGTGGATCGGACCCATTCTGTCCCAAAGGTTTTAAAGGCCGGATCCGGCAGTGGCTACAACTATTGGGGCCCTCGGGTAAGAGACCCCCCAGAGGGGTCACTTTAACCTGGAAGAAGCCGGGCATGCAAGCCGGGAATTGATTCCCATAGCTTTTTGCCTCCTTGGGCGCACCATGCAAAGTTAAAAACGGTGCTGTGTGCTAAATCCTTTGCTTGGGCTCAAGGCCGGCACATGTCTGAGCAAGAATTTATGTCTATGTCTATCTTTCAGTCTCTTGCACTTGAGTTTTCGGCCCCATAAAGTAACTTATTTGGCATGTTGATTGTGTGGATAAACCCGTTTGTAAACTGATCTGTCCCCCCCCCCCCCCCCCGCAAAGGGAGAAAAAGGAAAAGAAAGAAAAAAGTTACCTGTTAACATAGCCTATTTTTAAAAAGCACAAATGTGAACAAACCATTTCAAATCTGGCTTGACCGCAGACTTCGTCTCTAAGTAAACCTTTAAATCGGATAAAACTAGGATGCCAAATTACCTTTACCTCCAATTAAAGTAGATTGTGGAAATTAGCTCCCCTTGATTCCTACGATCCCTTCTTTAACAAAATAAAACTTCAAAAAAAAAATTCATCCCTCCTTTTAAATAACGATAACCATCTGTTGTTAGACCGTGCAGCCTAAACTGTTTTAAACCAGACTGATTATTTTCCTAGGGACAGTGCTTTTTATTTTGGAGTAGTAATAAAAGTTCAGAGCCTAGAGGTGCCCTTCACCAGTCTTGGGAACGAAAAAACAGCACCTTGCAGAGAGAAGTCCGACTCTAGTTGAATGCCAGCAAAATAAAAGGTAACGTTAACTCTCCTTAAAAAAAAAACAACAACCAAAAATCAAAACAAATCCGACCCCTTTAAATTAGCTTGACTTGGTTTAAAACCTAGTTGGGTTTTAAACGGCTGCTTCCGTGGCTTGATCTGATCCTTCGGAGGGATTTGGATGGAATGGATGCCCTCTGGAATCCTAGCCAGGTGCCACCGGCGTATCACTCTCTGCTCTCTGTAATCTCTCCTGCTCACGGGACCCACCGGCTCTCTCGACCTCAAAACCCTCTGTCCTCCTTTATCTGCTCTGTCTCTCCCTCTTTTTCCTGAAACGACAGCTCTTGATGAAGTCTGGTGAGTTTCCTAGAAATGGCTACTGAACCCAGAGAATGCGCTGCTCGCTAGAAAACCCGGTGCTAAAGCTCATTTCTTGAATGCAACCCAATCCCCCATTTAAGCCTGTTATTTGTTTCTCAAGGTCAGCTGAAACGGGGATGAAAAGGGAGTCTTTTGAAATAACTTCTACCCAAATAGAGATGGCTGGGATAGCTCAGTGGTTTAGGTCTCTGGTAGCTGAGTCTAAAGGTTGGGAGTTCAGTTCCCCCCATGGTGCATTTTCAGAAGAGCCAGCCTGGGTAGCCTTGGGTCAACTGTACAGTCCCAGGGCGCCCCCCCAGAAGAAGGGAAGGATCAACCACTCCTGAATATTTCTCTACCTGGAAAATGCTAGCGAGGGTTGCCAGTAGCCAGAATTGACTTGACAGTACATAATCACGATGATGATGATACCAGAATATGAAATCTAGAGCCCCCGTCTCTAAATTTGCCTGTTTTTTAAACCATCTGAGTTTATTGTCTTGTGACAGTGAGTTGGTGTTGTTCAAATACAGTACCTGCTCATGTCTGTCCAAATCAGCTGCTGTTAAGCTTCTCATTGGACAACGCCAGATTCTTTTGTGGCCAGGGAAAGAGGAAAAACAGCATAGCGAGTTTGTTTAAGGACAACTCGTCCCTGCAAATGTAGGAACACGACTGCTTTAATCATGCAGTTTGCGAATTCTCTCACCAAGTGGAAAGCAGTCTGAACAACAGACACATCAACTTTATCTCTAGTTCAAATGTGCCCTCTTGAGGTGATATGTGGCATTTCACCGTGCCAGGGTGAACTTGGGTTTAACATTGTGTATGATGATGATCAGGCTTATTCATCCCCCTACTTCCAGCAGGGAAAAAGAGAATGGAAGTGGCCACATTTTTTCACATTAACCACAGTTTGAACCTGTTGTCTGAAAACTGTGGTCAGTCTTAACTATGATTAACTGAAACAAGCCACCTTCAGATCATGGTTTGTGAACTTGAAACGTGTGGGGGGAATGTGGGCCACGGGGGCCAGACGCTCATGCTCAGCATACTAAATCATAGTTCCAGAACAGATTTGAACCAAGCCATGTTCTTCCCGTGTGCCTTGTGAATACTGACGCGCCTAGAAGAACCTAAGCCAAGTATAGGTCAGTGTGGACTACAATTCCCATAAGTCTTTGCCATTGGTCATTTCTGGCTGGGGCTGATGGGATATGTAGTCCAAGCATCCAGAGGGAACCAGACTGTCTACCCCGATCTGTGTTGACCCTTCCACACACCAGACGTAGCACGCTTAAAAACGCCGTCCCCGATGCCAGTTCTAACTGGAACGGTTTGTTTCTTCCAGAGCGATGCTCCGAACCCGTGGAACGACCCCTTTCCGTCGACCGAGACCACTCCTCTCCTGCAAGAAGACGCCAGTGCCATTCACCACCAGGGTCCTTCCAACACCTAACCCACTTCACTTCCCTCTTTCTGGGTCAAGTCTTAACCAATACACAGGCTGTGGGTGAACGGGATGGTTGAAGCGTGTGACACACACACACCCACGCACACCCAGCCACCCGACAACTGCAAAAGCAGCCGCCTCTCGCGGATCATGGATCTGTGGCGAACCATCAGAGAATGTCCTGGTGTCAAAAAGGGATGGGAACCCTTGGGACCCGTGTAGGCACATGGGACAGACAAGGCATTTCCACTTTGGCAGGAAAAAGCATTGATGGACCAGGGTTCTTCACCCTTTTCTCTTCCGTGTTTTCTGCCCCTGAAAACTGATGCTTAAGCCCTTTTCCTGTATTTTAATGGTATTTTTAATGGAATCGGGGGCAGGCCGTAAGATTTGGGCGTTACGCTCCTTATCTACCTTGATTGGTGGGCTATGATCGTGTTATAGAGCTAGGCTAATCTAAGTTTGGGCTGCCGTTTAAACTATCCTTTCTCCCACCCACCCACCCGGCCCAAACTTTGGGGAAGAAAAAAAAAGTTTTCCTAAACACGCCGGTATTTCCAGAAAGGTTTTCTTTCCACCCTGCCCTTCCTTCCACTCTGGAAATAAGCTTTCCCCCCCCCTTCCCCTGTAAGCAGCATTTGATCTGACCTGTAGAAATTAAAACTTGGGGCAGTGGGAGCAGACAGTGAAAACAACGCTGGCATAAGCTCGTCAGATAAACGAGCGAATTTCCGGGTTGTCTTCCTTTCGGGTCCAACCCGCAGCATGAATTCCTTACTGCCCTTTGCACACCAAAAGCTGTCGTAATGCTGAACAACGGCTGTCTCTTAAATGCTGCCATTTGTGGAATGTGTGCGGTGTGTTTCGTTTTTTAAAAACCTAACTGAAAACCTGGATGCCTGGAATGAAAAGGGCATTAGCTTCTTCCTTTATGTTTAACAACACTGGTGCTACATTTTGGGCAAGAGTGGGAGAGATTGAGCAGAAGGAAGGGGGTCAAGGTTTGGCTTGGTTTGGTTTGTTTGTTTTCTTTCAGCTTTGGGAACAATGTGGTAGAAGGTTTTTTGATGGTGTTTTTACCCTCTGGAGATGCTTCCAGGTTCAAACGGCAAACTCTCTATGATCCTAGCTCTCAGGGTTGGGGTAATGGTGGCTGTGTTTTTCATTTTTCTTCCATGTTGGCGTGGACGGTGCCCCCCCCCCACGTCAGTTATGCTGAATTCCAGCGGTGTTCTGCCAAGAGAGCAATAAAAAAATACTTCACATCTTTTGAATTGGGCTCCTGAAAGTGTGTTGGGGTGGGGAGCGAGAAAAGCCACAGGCAGCTGGCCTGTGAAAGCAGATTAGAATAATTTCTTTGATTGATTGATTTAAAATATTTCTGCGCTGCTTTTCTCCTGAAGGATCGGAGGCGTCTTAGAGTATTAAAAGAAACAAAGTTAAAATTCCAGTAATAAATTATTACAATATTTAAAAGCATCAAACAAGTATTGTCCCCATTAGCTGGGGTGCATCTGGATATCTTATTAATTCAGAAACGGAAGAATCGTACAGCTTTAGTGGTGCTTCCTATCCTGCATCCTCAAAAACAGTCCTCATGAGCAGCGCTTGGAAAAGTTGCTTGCACTTAAGGTGAACCCTAGTGACAAAGGACAAAAGTAGAAAGGTGTAAAAATGTGGTCACCCTGCTCGCTTGAGGGCTGCATGAGATTTAGGTTTGGGGTTTTTTCCCACTCCACAGTTAGAGCTTCGAAAATGGGATGTTCTTAACCTTAAATAAAATAAAATAAAAATGAATGCACATCAGCAAGAGGGCAACCTCACCTTGCTAACAGCCTGCCTGGTCAAAACAGGCTGGGTGAAATTAAGCCACCAGCCAGATCTGCTCCAGTTTTAAGCTGCTTTTATAGCCATTACCCTAGTGGTTCCCAACCTGAAGTCACATGGGGGTTCTTGGACTGCAATTCCCAGAAGTCCTTGCCACCAGCAGGGGGTTCTGGGAGTTGCAGTCTAAGAACATCTGGGTTACCCAAGGCTGAGGCCCCCCCCCCCCCCGCAGGACACAGTGCTGCATCTCGGTGGATGGACTCTTTGGTTACAACAGTTGATTTTCATGAGATTTATGGTTCTGCAGATATTCTCGCTGCCAGTCGAATGTGGTAAAACGACACGGAGCCCAGAACTTGAATTCCTTGCCCTTCTGAGCAAAGTTAAAAAGCAAGGGAGCAGGGGAAAATATATTTTGAGTTGAAATGTAATAGCAGACCACTTGGTGGAGATGTTGCTGCACGGTAGCTGTGTTTTGAAGAAACCCACCTTTTTCCGTGGTTCTCAATCTTTCCTGTTTTTACTTGCAATCAAGGATGTTGTCAAATAAGGCTGCCTTGCCCCCCATCCCCAAATGGGGTCAGAACAAAAAGCCCACTTTTTCCCCAGGAGTTTTAGAATAGAATTATTTCTTTATGCTCAACCTCTCCTCTAAAGTGCTTGAGATGCCTGCCCGAATCCTGTTAGTGAATGCCTGCTGGCATAACGCAAATGGCATAAATCCCAGCAGCCGATGGCCTCCATGAGCAAGCGAGCGTAGACATTCCTTACTGTATGCCAGCACACGACAGCAAATGCTTACGTCCACGTCTTAAGTTGCCCCATCTGGCCGTGGAGATGTACACCGGTTGCATTGGGCTGATGTAATTACTCAATAGGATCTTGCCCGTTGTATATATAAGCATCTTTCACTATCATCCTGTAATAACTCCAGAAGACGCACTAGATGAAGAAGCAGGATGGACACCGGATACAGAGCAGAGGGCTTCTGTACTGTTAAATGTCTGTGTAGAGGAATTCCAGCAGGTGTACCTTGTTATTTGAGCTATGCCTGCTCAAATTCCCTCTTTATTTAATTTTATTTCTTTTTATTAAAGGATGCCTCTCTCTCAAGATGGCTCCCAACAGATAAAAGTGCAAGCCTACATGAAGACTAAAAACCAAGATTTAAAAAAAATGTTTGAAACATATAAAAATCTGTAAATTAAACAAACCAGCCTTTCCAAGGTGGCTCACCGCTTAAAAGCCTGCCTGAAGGAGAAAAAAAGGTGGAGAGACGGTGTCATCTATTTCAAGTGGCCACCCTACCGAGGAGTCACGAGACTGTCCCGGGATTGACCCCATGTGTGCGTTCATGCAGGCATGCTAGCAGCCCAACCTGGAGGGAGCCACCTTGAATGCTGGGCCTCATTTCAAAAAGCATCTCTGGCAGCCAGCGCTTGGAGATGCCTGGTTCTCTTCTAGCACAGGTCTGTCTTCCTGAAGGAGACAAAAAGGTGGAGAAACGGTGTCATCTATTTAAAGTGGCCACCCTACCAAGGAGTCACGAGACTGTCCCAGGATTGACCCCCATGTGTGCGTTCATGCACGCGTGCTAGCAGCCCAACCTGAAGGGAGCCACATTGAATGCTGGGCCTCATTTCAAAAAACATCCCTGGCAGCAATCGCTTGGAGACGCCTGGTTCTCTTCTAGCACAGGTCTGTCTGCCTGCGATTAGTCTAGCGAAAACAAAATCCTTCCTGGCCTTCTGAAAATACAAGAGATTCTGCTGGTCCCACCCATGCACCTCTTCCCTTCTGCATGGCATTGCCCTGACATTGTAAATTTAGAGATGACGTCAAGGGTGCAAAACATCATCAGGGGATAATGGTCTCCTGCTGCTTGCCAAATGTCAAGGTGAAGTCAATGAAGTCATTAAGGCTTGCAAAGGGTGGGTGGGGTTGGTTTCCCCACCTGGTTTCTCTCCTAAGCCTCCTGACGGATCAGCTTTTGTGAGCCCAGGGGAACGTGTTGGCTGCTGCTGAAGGATGATGTTCCTATTGACTCTTCCCCCACACACACACACACCAAGTACATTTGGGAAGAGTAGCAACACATGGTAAGCGTTGGGAATGAACAATCCGTCCAGCTTCGCACATTTCTCTTTTCCTCCAGCTGGGAAATGGGCCTCATCCAGAAATGAGAGGTGAGTCTTAAGCATGCATCCTGGCCTTAGTAGGAGTTGGCGCTGGTGCTATGTGGCTGGCAAAGGGACCACTTTGATACTTTAGGGAGGCGAGTCAGAAGCAAGGAGGAAGTGTGTTGGTCCTTTTTCTTCTGTTTGTTTTGTTTTGAGGTTGTGGCCCATTTCTGTTCCCTAAAACGCAAAGGCCAAAGTGAGCGGCCAGCCAAAAACAGAAATAGCCCTACTCATGCGGCTCTTCTGCTGTGTGGCATTTCTTAAGATCCTTATTGTCTAGTTCAGCGTTTCCCAGCTTTGGGTCCCCAGACATTCATGGACTACAACCTTTACAGTCCCAAACACCTGTAACGTTCCATGGCTCCGCGAAGATCTAAAGTTATTGTCCCCCCTTAGTCTGACGGGGCAACCAGTGTGCTCTACTTTCTCTCCGGTTTCCGAAGAGCCCTTTCAATCATCATCATAGCAATCTTAGAACTACAGAGCTGGAAGGGACCCTATAAGATGGAGTCCAGACACTTCAATTCAGTAATTTTCCTAAAGCTTTTCTAAACAATTTTAGGGGTATGTGGGAATGGCTAGGCAAGAGTGCTGTCTGAAATGGGTCAGACCCTTGGCTAGCCACAGGTGGCCATGCTAGGCTTAATGGGACCAAGTCAATATATAATAGCAATTATCACATGGCAGTAAATCAGTTCAGGCTTAGAGTGACCCTTTTGGGGGTTTTGCAGGTGGAGAATATTCAGAAGTAGTGTACTGTTTATCTTCCCCTAGGGGGCGCCCAAGGCTACACAAGCTGGCTCTTCTCTCGGGAGACACAGTGAGGAATCGAACTCACAACTTCTTTCTCTGCAGATACCTAAACTATTCCAGCCAGTAGCTCTGCATTAAATGTTTCCCCATGGCTGGCTTCAAATTCTAAACGCTGGCCTTTGTGTGATGCTTTTTCTTAACCATCTCAAGCACCACCCCATCCTTGGAACCTCAAGCCGCTGGACACCAAAAAGTGCGCCCAACGTTTAGGGGTCCACCTCAAAGGGCTGGTGTGTCGAGCGCAGCTTGGGGGGCTCACCGTCCTGACCTGTTTAGAATGCATCCAGCATTCCCGCTCAAGAGGAGTTAATGAGAGTGGAATGGCATTTCTCCTGCACTCAAAATGGCAGGCACACCATTCATTTAAATGTGTTTTTTTCCGTTCCCTGCCTGTCTAATGCGCTCACATTATCATGTAAATGGGAGAGTCACCGGTATCATTGAAAGTGCACCGGATTCTCGCTCAACCTTTTTTTTCCTAAGGGTCACCTTGTTGGTCTTTTGCTGATTGTCGGGGTTTGGGGGGAGTCGGAGGGGGGAGTGCCACTGAATACATGCAGGGTTGGTTTGCTTTAGAGTCCAGGGCGTTGAGGGACGTGGTGGCGCTGTGGGCTAAACCGCAGAAGCCTGTGCTGCAGGGTCAGAAGACCAAGCAGTCATAAGATCGAATCCACGTGACGGAGTGAGCGCCCGTCGCTTGTCCCAGCTCCCGCCTACTTAGCGGTTCGAAAGCCTGTAAATGCAAGTAGATAAATAGGGACCACCTCGGTGGGAAGGTAACAGCATTCCGTGTCTAGTCGCACTGGCCATGTGACCACGGAAGATTGTCTTCGGACAAAACCCTGGCTCTGTGGCTTGGAAATGGGGATGAGCACCGCCCCCTAGAGTCGAACACGACTGGACAAAAATTGTCAAGGGGAACCTTTACCTTTACCTTTACCAGGGCGAAAGCCAAACCTTACAGTTCACGAAAAGTGGTTACTTGTTTGCCTAAGGCACACCCCTGGACTGCAGAAGGCTTCTGTGCTGCAAAAAGAATATAACAAATAAATGGAACCTTCATGGCTGAGAACTGGGTAGATATATAAAAAAACAGGTTGCTGGTGCTGAGTTGCCATGTAAATGTGAAATGTTTAAAAAAGAAAAAGGCAACTCCATCCACCCACCCGGCACCTGCAGATAAACTAGAAGCCATATGGAACTACCCATCAATGCCATCCTGAAATTGAACCCTATTTTTTTTAATCAAAGGGAAGATTTTCTAAATGTCTCACGTTGGTGGGTATTGAGTGGCAAAATAAGATTGAATACGGGGCTGTTTTTCCCAAGGCCTTGTTGTCCAAAGGCAGAAATCAAAACCTGGGTGTGGTTGATTTGATTTCCCACTAATGTATGTGCTTTATTTTTACTGGACTCTTGGGGGGAAAAATGTGTTCCTTCCTGAAATATCCACTTGAGAGGGATGTTGGGTTTTTTTTTTTTTTTTTTTATGAGCTCCCCAAAAAAATTCAAATAGATTTGAATGAATTCAAATCGATACTCCACCACCTTTCGATGTTAAAACTGGACGAGATGTGGGTTGTTAATCAGATCTTCCTTTGGAAGTCTCTCGTCTTGAGTCCAAGATAAGAAGTCTTAGAGCTGGCTGAGAGAGGAACGGGAGTCTGCTTCTGAATGCGTGCCGTCCCGTGTTTGAACAGGAAGTAATAAGTCCAGCAAAGGGGTCTTTTAAATCTCTCCAGTGCTTGTATGTAAATGGAAAGTCAGCGACATCTCATGGAAAACAACAATAACAACGTCTTATTTTTCCACTCCAAGACAGACCAGATGCATGGAATTCTTGACTCTATCACCCTGAAGTTACATCTGTTTAATTCTTGCGGAATAAAGGTGTCTTGTTTATACAGGGCCGAAACAAAAGGCCTGAGAGAGACAACGCACAAAAGGAGATGTAGACCTGGAGGGAATCTATATCATAACGTTTGTATATGTGTAAGTTCAAATGTAGAAATGATGACTGCAACTTAAATAGAAACACAATGGCTGAACATCCGTTGCTTCGTGCAGTACGTTGCAAGCACAGCAGGCCCATTGGAATCAATAAAACCTAGAGAGGTTGACTCATCAGGTCCCCATTAATAGAATGTACCTACTCTAGAGCAACTTACTACATTAAGTGACAGGATTTTAGCCAATGTATAGAAAAGCTCAGGACCATCTCAGACGCTGGTACTAAGTACAATTAAGTAAGGAAAGGAACGATGGAAATATTTAAATCATCCTCTGGAAAAGGATTTACTGATTTTTTTTTCTTGAGGAGGAATCTCTGATAAATTACTGTAGGAAACTCTGATCTCACTGCAACACATTAAAAATATATATATCCTGAGCTGACCAAAGAAATCAAAGGGGGTCTGTGTGTGTTTTTTTTTTAAAAAGGCAAAACATGGCTTGGCTTGCCAGATCCCCTTCGACGGATGACGTGCATGCATTTCACGCCAAGCTAAATGAGATATTTTGTGGCTTGTAATTTTGGAGAAAGCCGCCCCCTTGATCCAAAGTGACTGGGATGAATTTATCCCCTCGTCAGAGCTTGTGTGCGCACGTACGCACGCACACACTCCCCCAATCGTTGTCACACCGGCCCGACCACAGCCTGTTAGGGGTTTAATTTGTTAAATGCTGACACACGGCGTTTCCTTGTGTGCTTCTGAAGAAAGAAGGGCAGCCGGTCTGTTAGGCACCTCTCGTTTGTCTTTGTCAAGACGGGCACCCTTTTCCCCTCCCTCCCCTCTAGTTCAGAAATGCTTTTTGATAGATGGGGCTATGTGGTTGCGGGTTCACCATCTCCTGGCTTGATGTCGTGGTAAATAAGATCTCTAGATTGCTAAAGAAGGTTCTCCCACTCAAAGCGCCCTACGTGAAAAGCTTAAATGCACGGATGTTTGCTTTGAAACTCCAGCGATGGGCACCATCTATACGATTGTGAACCATGATGGTTCCACAATTCTCATTCCCAAGGCAAGCCACCTCAGAGCCAAAGTAGATGTTACAGAGGCCCTGTTTTCAGGCACGATTCGTTAGGCCTGAAAGCCACAAAATTACAGTAGAGCTTGACATTGTGTGTATATATAATGGCCTGAATCTGAATTCGTGTTTGTGTAACTTGCCATAGCTAAGAGTGGCTAATTAACACTGTGCCAAAGTATGTCTCAGTTGTGTGCTGAGTCATGTGCCCGTCTGCACTTCCTGCACCTAGTCAATTAGCCACAGTTAACCATGGTAAGTTATGGACGCCTTGTAGAGACACTAGTAAGATTTTGCTGTATATAATTTGAAAAAGGATGGGAAATCATTGTACCAACTTTAATTTCTTTATACGTAACTTAATGCATCATCTTAGGACATACTGATAAGTGTTATTCCCTCGCCCTACTGAAAATTATTGGATCCACACACTGGTTGAAGCAATCAATCAGGAGATTTAAAGAGTTCAAATTGAGCTGAATCTGGGTGCATGAATTTTCTCATAGAATGCTGTGATTGTGATTAGGCATCCTTCAGTCTCGAGAGACTAGGGTAACGTGCTCTGTATGGAGGACTTGGAACAGCATCTAGTGTAGCTGAGGAGGCCAATTCGAGAGTGACAATCCCTTCCACAGTGAAGACAGATACAGTCTGTCCCCTGTCCAGCTCTCTGATTTTGCTGGTTTTGGGACAGCCTCTTTGCCTCGGCCTGCTGGAGAGGGAATCTTCAAATTGGGAGAGGCCATGATGTACCATCTGCCTGCGGGCTGAACGCTCAGATGTCAAGCTTTCCCATCTGTTGAGGTCCATTCCAAAGGCCTTCAGATCCTCATAGAAAGCAACTTGATTCTCATAGAAAGCAATTCAGATTCTCATAGAAAGCAACTTGATAATTGGGACATCCTAAATTCCCAATTGCTTTTCTGTTCACTGGGCGACACAGTTATTCAAATCTCTTCCCTGTTAAGGAAGGAAATATTTTACAACTGGATTTACACTATATATGTTCTGAGGTCATTAGAAGTACAGGCTGAAATAACATGCTCTGCTTTATCTTTCCTGGCATGAAAAATGAATCAATAACTCATTGATTTAAATTAAAATGTCTCCCTCGCCAGGTAGCTGGGAACGCTAAATATCTGTCGTTCCACAGCTCAGATCAGAAA